AAAGTGATCAAAAAAAAAAAAAAGAGAGAGAGACAAGATACAAATTACCAATATTAGGAATTACAGAAGTGATCACTACCTAGTCATTAAAAGGATAATAGGTATTGGGGGTCCCCACACCACACTTAGTTTTGATAATTAGCACTAGAAAAAGTCAAAGCACTCAGAAAAACTGTTATACTCACAATTACAGTTTATTACAGTGAACAAATACAGATTAACATCAGTAAAGGCAAAATGCATCTAGTGAAGAGTCCAGAAGAAATCAGGTATAAATTTCCAGTGTCTTCTCCCTGTGTAGTTGTAAGGACCGCACTTAACTCTCCCAGCAACTACCTATGACAACACATACAAAGTACTGCCAACTAGGGAACCTCATCTAAAACTTGTTGTCTAGGGTTCTTATTGGATCAGTCATGCAGGCATGGAACACCCACATGACTGACCTTAGCTACCCAGTCTCCAGTTGCTCCAGAGATCAAACTGATAAAGCATGGGCTAGGAATTCGGGTAAACAAAAACAGGCCATTCACCATAAATCATATTGTTAGCAAAAGCCACATGATGAGCATAAAGGCCCTAGGTATTTAAAGACAATTTTATCACACAGGATATTCCAAGGGTTTAGAGGTTTTCTCCAAGGATCCAGTCAATGGCCAGTCCTCTGTTTGGAATGTGCAGGGTTTGAGCATCACAAACCCTCTAAATGAACTCTTTACTGCACAATAAGAAAATATTATGAACAATTTTATGCCAATACAGTCAATAACATAGAAGAAACAAATATCTTGAAATAAAAACTATGAAAAGTCACTCAAGAATAAATAATCTGAACAGCCCCTACATCAATCAAAGAAATTCAGTTTGTGCTTACCTCACACGTGGAAATTTCAGATGGCTTCACTGGTAAATTCTACAAAGTAGAATTTATATCAAAGTAATGTAAGTCTTCCAGAAAATCAAAAAGAAAAAGTATTTCTCATTTGGTGAGACCAGCATTAACCTGATCCCTAAACAAGGCAGATACCACACAAAACAATTATACACTAGTATCCTTCATGAACATATGCAAAACTTCTAAACAAAATTTTAGCCAATCAAGTCCAAAAATATACAAACAGCATAATATATTATGTCCAAGTAAAGTTTATCCCAGGATGCAACAGGCCTATGTAACACAGGCCAATCAATGCAACTCACCATACTAACAATCTAAAAACGAAAAATCCTATTATCACTTCAACAGACCCAGAAAAAGCATGCAAGAAAAACCATTACTGAATTCTGATAAAAGGCTTCAGCAAACTAGGACTAGAAAGGAATTTCATCAGCATGATAAAAGGCATCTAGCAAAAAACCTAAAGGTAACACAATATTTAGTGAAAAACTTTATGCTTTTCCCCTAAGATCAGAAACAAAACAGGGTATCCGATCTCATTTCTTCTATCCAACATTATACTGATGGGTCTTGGGCAGTGCAATATGACAAGAAAACAAATAAATGGCATGCAGATTGGAAAGAAAGAAATAAAATTGTGATTTGCAGACATGATCATCCATGTAGAAAATCCAAAGAAATCTACCTTAAAAAATGCTGCTGGTAACTAATAAGTGTGTTTCTCATGATTGATCAACAAACATAAATCAACTTTATTTCTATATAGTAGACACACGCACACAAAATTGAATATCGATTTAAAAGTGCTATTTACAAAGGAGCATGCTATTAACTACTTGGGGATAAATTTGACAGAAGATGTGCAAGATCCATTTACTGAGATCTGCAGAATACTGTTGAAATACTATTTTAAGGCTTTATTAAAAAATAAAAGGGCATATTGATTCTTCTCAACCTAATTTTAGTTTTTTATTTACTAACCAATGAGTCCATGGGTGCAACTAAGCAATAAGTAATAAATGGGGTTAATGTTATTCACCATCACAGAAATTCATACTAGAAAGGAATCTCAGAATACAGGAAATGTGGGGATGTTTAATCTCAATACTTAACTTGGAAAGGTTTAGTCTTTCAGCATTTATCTGAAGGCTCAGTAGGCATCAAACATTCTGTAACACACTTGGTGAATAGAAGATGCATCCTCTGATCTTATGGAGCTGTTACCTAACAGAGGGAAATAGAAAATAAACAAGTAAACAAACAAATGCAAATTACTTAAGAGTCGTAATTAGTGCTATTAAAGTAATAAAGACCACGGGAATAGGAAAGTCACTGAAAGTCTAAGTGGACATTCAAGTCAAAACCTGAAGCAGGAAGAATCAGCCAGACAAGGGAAAGATTATTATGGCCAAATAGAACAGCCTTTGGGAAGGCCCTGGGTAGGACAGTAGGGGTTTGGGGAGAGCTTGGCATACTCCAAACCTCTAAAGAAAGTCAATTTGGCGGGAGTATAGGGACTGTGGAGTAAAGGGAAAGATAAGCCTAATGGTCACTTAGGAGAGGTAGACAGGTGTCAGATTCTGCAGGCCTATGTAAGAACTGGTATTTTATTCAAAGTGCAACAAGAAGCCATTTTATAGTTTTAACCAGGCACACACATTAGATTTTCATTTTTTAAAATATCATCTCTAGTTGCTCTGCTAGAGAATCAATTGGAGGGAATATAGTGGTATAGGTTATCACAGATGGCTTCCTCTGGCCATAAACAGATAAAACCGGTGAGTAACATATAACATGTTTTTATTTAAAAATATATATATATGTGTGTGTATATATACATGTACATATACGTATACATATATATACATACACATACACGTGTATGTGTATATATATACACATATATATATATACATATACATATGCGTATATGTATATGTATCCTAGAACTTAAAAGAAAGAAAAAAAGATGTAGAAAGCAAACCCCAGGGGGACTCTACCCGAGTATAAGTGCTGGGTGTTGGGATTCCTATACACATTTGAAGGCGAGATCACTGAAATAAGGGTTCAGAGCCTGGAAAGGATGATCCATGTGAAAACAAAGGATTAAAAAAACTCAGCCTACTGCTCTACAAAAGCAGTAGGAAGCCTGCTGTTAACTATATATGTAGTTACCATACAGAAGAAATATATACATGTATATTTTAAGGGCACCTACAAAAAACTGATACCTGACCCCTGGATCATACACAGGGGAAAAGATCCAAATTTATATCACAAGTTGAAAAAATTACTTTAAATTTGACTTAAAGCAACTGAAAGTTCTAGCACCCAGCAAAATCAATCTGCAAAACTCTCAATCCAAGATACAGAGGACTTTCATAAAACAAAAAACTTCTTTGAGGCTAAGCTCCCAATTCACATAGCATTTGAAGAAAACAGTCACCATGAGGGAAGGCCAAGAGAAACAACAAACAAGAGTTAGAACCTTGTAAACTGGAAACTGTAATTTTACAGAGATGTTATTTTTTACTATAATCTCGCTCTCATTTTGGTTCTTATTCATGGCTGACACAAACCTCTTGAAGTGCCATAATTTCCACCTCTAGTAACGTTATTGAGAATTCTGGAAATTCACCCTCAGCTAAAAAAAAAAAAAAAAAAAAGTTTATATATAAAAGCTAACAGGGGCCTACAAGGTGCTTTGTTTTTATTAGATGAAACTACATGGCTGATGCTTGTAAATGGGAAACTGAATTAATAACCATTGCTACTGATCCCCACCTGCTAGAAAATCTGTACCTTTCAAGTATGTAGTCTATGTTCCAAAACTTGATGATCTTTCTCGCCAATCCTTTTGAATGGTACTTTAATTTTTAAATGTGAAGAAAAATGAGTTCACATTTAAAATGAAGGGTTTGTGCACTCTTAAATTTCAGAAATCATTTTTAAGTTTAAAAGTTCAAAGGTTACGAGAGGAATTCCAAATATCCTTCACTTTCTAACTATACCTATCTAAACCTGAAATACCGACTCCAACTCTTTTCTTGGTACGGTATTTTATTTTGTCTATTTCATTTGAATTTGCTTAAAAATATTGGCACACTAAAACCAAAATCACACCCGGGATTTTGCAATATAAGCCAAAATAATGCTTTTTTTTTTTAAACGCATTTTTAGTGATGAGAAACATGAAAAATGTAATAGCTGATCCCTTTTAAATCGTCCCATTTCTATGTATTCTGACAACGCTTGCATCTTGGCGTTTGAAACCTTGCTTAAAATGAGAAAACAGAAGCCCAGAGAAGTGCTCAGGATAGAACCAGAACACTGAAATCAGGACTCCAAGCGAGAAAAGCCTAGTATTTCTCCATACCCCAGCGCCGATACTGTTTTACCATGGTCTCCTCTGAACTTAAAACTGATAAGGAACCATTTTTAAGGGGAAAGACTTAAGCATTCCTTAGATAGGCTACAGGTCTTCGAGAACCATTCACAACACATGGAAACAACCCACAATCAACAGTTAATTGGGAGACAGCTATGCAGAGAAACCCTGCTGAATATGTCTGCTCCCTCCCCATTGTTATATCCCGGCCCTCTGAAATGTTTCTTCACAATTAGAAGCCTAAATCCGAACATTCTCTGGGGTCAGTTCGCAGGACAATTCCGGCGCAGTTTTGAAAATACCCCCCAGGAGCCCCGACTCGTACCCGGCCAGACCTAGCGAGTAAGGGGTACCGCCCCCGTGACTTCCCCGAGGACCCCGGAGGCAGGTGCGTCCGCCCTTTTCCGCCGCCGACTTGTAGCCACTTCCTAACTGCCTGTTTATCTCCACCCTCATCCGCGTCGCCAGTCCCTCCCTTATCTCTTGAAGCGATTAACACAACGAGAGCAGGAGACAGGGAGAGAGAGCAGACTCGGCTCGGAAGACAGGAATGTCGGAGCGGCCGAGCTTTCCCTAGGTCGGCTGTCCGGCACCGCCGGAGGCAGCTCCAAGGGAACAGGACCCCGCAGCAAGCGACGGGGGCCTTGTAGCCAGAGCTCGACGCGCTGATTGGTCGGTCGGCCGCGTCCGGGAAGAACCCGGATGTGACTGGGTAGTTGTGTTGGCAGTCGGGGCTCTGAGGTGTGGGCGTTCTGGGGGCGCTGGCAGCCGAGGCGGATGGCGCGGGGTTGGGCCGGCTTCTCTGAGGAGGAGCTGAGGCGACTGAAGCAAACTAAAGGTAACGGGACGTGCCTGCAGAGGTTTCATCCTTGGGTCTCTAGAGGGGAAGGGGCGGGGCTGCAGCTTTTGAGGGGGTAGGGGGCGGGAAAGAGGGTAATGTGTTGATGCTTGGGGAAGGAGCTCTAACGGGAGGAGGGGATTGAGGGGTTCCAGAGGTGGGAGCCACAGCGGGAGGGGCGGGTCCAGGGGACTGGGATCTTTCAGGTAAGAAAGTTGAGGAATCCACTTCAGGAATTTGACTTCCCGTGAAAGGGACGGGACTTGGGAGAGGAAGTGAGCCTACAGCCTCGGCGTCTCTTGTGGGAAGATTGCTTCCTTAAGTCCACGGCTGGAGGGTTGGGGTTGGGGTAAGAGAAGGGGGAGGAGCACACACCAGATTCGAATTGTGATGAATGTATGTATGTAAGTTGACAATGGTTGGGAACAAGGGAGTACAGGGATCTGAATAAACGCAAAACGACGATGCTTTTCTTAATACATCTGGAGTCTTGCATTCACTTCTGGTTGCCAGATGACTTTTGAAATTGTAACTCTTGAGAGTCAGAAAACCAAGACTTTTTGAAAGGTTAGATGTGAAATTATACCTATTGACTGTTGTAAGCTACAATGTGCCTCCCCCGCTGGCTTTGTAGGGTAGTTATTGGACGGACTTGTACTATTTTGTTTTCTTTTAATGAAGGAATTAAGTTTACTGTTATTTGGTGAGAAACCCTTGGTGATATGAACTATGAATGTAATGTCATGAAATTCTATACGGTGATCCTGGTATTGCACACTCCTTCTGTGAGTTTACATCCCTCTTAGTACCATAATTTATATACTTTGGAAGAAAATTCAGTAAGCCCTGGCATGCTTTTTGTTAGAGTTTGTGATCAAATTGGATGTTGTTCAGGTAAGTCTGCATCTTTAGCATAGATGTAAAAATAAGGCTAACAAGTGGAAAAGGAAGTAAAGTAGGAATACAGGACCAATGTAGATTATACAGATGGAGGAGGTTTTGACTGTTCCAGAGGCCTTTAAAAACTATATCATAAAAGTTACACTGCGGTGTGTAATTAACAAACTTAATCTCAAACTTTTTTGCTCTATGTTTTGAACATCCATTCCCATATTCGTATGTACAGAGTACAAGTATTCCTGTTTCAGGTCTGACCCAAAGTTAGAGGTATCAGCTTCTGTATTTTACATACTAAAGCTACATACATGCTACATACATAGTACATACTATGTAAGTACATCTACATACTAAGATGAACAAGGCATCATCCTTGTATTCAGAGAACTGATAGTCTACTGAGGAGACAAGCTATAATATAAGGTGATAATAGATAGTTTACAAGAGCTTGTTAACAGAGCTAGCAGGAACTTGACTCTGCTGGGGGTTGGGCAGAACTTGGGAACATTTCACAGGCATTATGTGTTAGTAGAGGTGAGTTTGCCAAGGGAAAGAAGACTTAATATAGACTAAATTGTAACAATAGATTCATTTTGTGGAAGTACATTTCTAAATATCTTTACAATTTGGGAGAGAGAGGGGCTGGAAAGACCTTAGCTTCAAGGCCTATAATTTCGTAGTGAGATGTTAAAGCATAGACACCAACCCCTAGTCTATGACCACCATGAGTAAGAGAACACATGTTAGCATCTTTGTACTCTCATAACCACACACAGTGATTGGCATATAGATCTCCTAGCTCTGCCTCTAAATCTTTTTTGCCTTGGATTTCTCATGTGTGAAAGTAGAGGAGTTGGATTTTTCATTTTTAAGACTCCTTCCAGCTGTTCTCCAACCTTAAAAATAGAATTAATCCATGAAGGTAGAGTTGGTTGCCAGCAAAAATAAGGATGACCGTACTCTAGAGAAACCCCATGTGCACATTGGGAAAAATCAAGAATGTTCTTTGCATTCTTATTTATAATACTGAAAAGCTGGGAACAAACCAAGGGTTCATTAATAAAAGTGGATAAATAGGGGTGCCTGGGTGGCCCAGTTGGTTAAGTGTCCAACTTTGGCTCAGGTCATGATCTCACGGTTTGTGAGTTCAAGCCCCTGTGGGGTTCTGTGCTGACAGCTCGGAGCCTGGAGACTACTTGTGATTCTGTGTCTCCCACTCTCTCTGCTCCTCCCCTGTTCATGCTCTCTCTTTCTCTCAAAAATAAATACATGTTAAAAAAAAATTTTTTTAAGTGGATAAATTGTGATACAGCCATTCAGTGGGCCAGTATAGAGCTAGTGGGAATATATGAACTATACCCACATACATTAACATGTATAAATTTCATAAATATAATGCATGAAAAGAACAAGTTACAAAAATTCATACAACCTGATATCATTTGTAGAAGGTCAAAATCATACAAAGCAGGTATATTCTTCTGGGAATATAGGAAATCAAAATACCCAGTACTAGAAAGGGGGAATATGATCAGGAAGGGGCAAATACGTAGGAAATTTTAAAAGTATTTGGTAATAATGAAATCAAGTTGAGACAAGTTATGCTACAGTTAACAAATAGCCCTAAGATATCAATTATTTAAAATAATAAAGATTTATTTTTCTTTATAACTTCATGTCTAACATAGACTGGCAGGTGACACTTCCGCATAGTCCCTCGTCATTGTGTTTTCATGTTGTCATATGGGAGTGCACCATGGCATGAGGAGAAAAAAGTTGAGACTCGAGCATTGGCAATTAAATGCTTCCATCAGTCAATGATAGATGTCATTCATACTTACATTTCATTTAATAAAAGCAAGTAATATGATTTGGAGGGCAATAAATACAATTATCTTGAGTGTTCCAAAAGAGAGGATAACATGCCTATCTTTAAATAGCAGTTGTGTCTACTCTAGCCATGTTTTATTTTTTTAAATGTGACTGTTTTTTTTAATAATCCATACAGGTTGGATGTGTGTCTGTAGCAAATACATGTATTTGATGTGTGATTTATAATAAAAAATAAATTTATTTCATAATAAAAAATTGGAAATAGAAAAACAGTGCAACTACAATGCTGTCAATGTCTAAAGAAAATATTCAAGAGTTCTTTATTTATTCTTGATACTAGTTCTTTTCCAGGTATATTATGAATATGTTCTCCAATAAATATCTTCTCCCAGCTTGTAACTTGTCTTTTAACTTTAATCTTATGATGAACAAAGTATTTAATTTTAATATGGTCAAATTTGTACACATGTTGTGTCTTCACTTAGTACCCTACCATGAGGTAGTAGTACCCTTCCATAAGATGTTAGTCCTTATATTCAATTAAGCATTTTTAAGAATCATTTTTGTTATAAGCTATATAGATTCAAAACACTGTATAAAGCAATGTGTTTCTAATAAGAGTTTTAAAATGTTGATTTGACATTTGAATCATTAATCCATTTGGAGAATGTTTTCTTTGTTTTTATATGGTGTGAAGTACGGATCTGATTTTCCCTTTTCCATATAGCTGGGTTTTTTTTTCAAGTCGATTTATTGAATGATTCCACCTTTTGCTGTTGATAGGCCATGCTATCTTAGTCATATACCAGTGCTTCATACACGTATGAACCTGTTTCTGGGTTCTTTTGTTCTATTCCATTGGTCAGTTTGTCTATTATGCACCAATACCACACTATTTTAAAGCTTTATAATATTCCTATGGTCTCTATTCTGTTCCATTGGTCTATTTGTCTACACTAATGCCCACGGTCTTGATTACTGTAGTTTTATAGCCAAGTAATGCCAGTTCTCCAGTTTTGTTCTTTAATATTGTGTTAGCTATTCTGAGTCTTTGGCCTCTCCATATAAACTTTAAGATCATTGTGTCAGTATTAGCAAAATAAGACAAGATTGAATCTTCTTTTCACGAATATAGAATATCTCCCCATTTATTTCTTTGATTTCATTATCAGAGTTTGTGGTTTTCTTCACAGATCTTGTGCTTTCTTAGATTCATTCCTAAGTATTACTTTTTTTTTTTTTTTTTTTTAGTGCTAATGCAAATAGTATCATGTTTTTAATTTTAAACTCCACTTGTTCATTACTGGTACATAGGAAAATAGTTGACTTTTGTATATTAATCTTGAATTCTGCAACCTTGCTATAATGGCTTATTAGTTCCAGGAGTTTTTCTATTTATTGTTTCAGGCCTGATTTGTTTACTGTTTTGTTTATTATTTTGTAGCATTTTTAATCTCCTGTGCAGTTTCTGTGAAAAGCAAAAGAATAATTCAACTAGTGAGTGTAACCAGGAAATAAGCTCAATGGCATTTTCTTATGGTGTACATAAAGATCAGTAGTCAAGAATAAGTTCCTGTCTCAAGATAGAGGAGGTTACTTTGTGTTCCTGGCTAAAGTCAACAGTAATAACATTTTACTTGCAATGGCACATCTATGTTTTAAAATATTTTACCTGTCTCATTTAATCCTTACAGTAACTTCATGAGTTAAGTAGAGCAGGTAAATTTTCAACCCATTTGACAGTTGGAAAAACTGAGTTATGGAATAATTAATTGACTTGTCTACGATTATTGAGCTGAACAAAAGCTGTGCCAGAACTGTGACTCCAGAGCTTTTAATTCTCCTTTGGGAGATTTAAATAATAGGCTTGTGTTGCTTCATGGATCAATATGCAGAATTTTAAAAGCCCTATTTGAGTTAATTAATAAGAACTTACCACAATTTCACTTCCCAGGCATTTTATAAACAATACCATTTACAGTTCTTATTAAATATAATATGAATGTGAGTCAAATTCTCCAGTACTCTGCCTTACAAAGTTAACACTGGTTGGACAAACCAAGAAGTATAATAGGGGTATTATTTATTTTATAGTGCTTTTGTAAAAAAAAAAAATTCTCCCTGTTTTCTCTTCCTCTATTGGTTTGTTCAGGCTGCTGTTAAAATTAGCTTGCATACATTGACTCATGGCTAGCTAACTTTGGGGAAGACAACCTTGCACTGCTCTGGAAGATGAAAGCTAACATTTGAGGGTTAACTAGCATTCTTAGAAATAAGAGACTTCATTCAGTTATACTTTATGTATAATACCTACCTATGTATCAAACTGGTTAAGATCTGTTATTTAAGAAGAGTGCAGCCCATTTGTAACTGCAACCACCATTTTATTTCAGGAGAGCAAATAGAATCATAAGTCAAATTTAAGACCTATTAGAGAATTCATTTGTCTACTTTGCTTGGTCAGATTAGTTAATTGCTTAGTCAGTTATCAATTCAAGTTGAAAAAGAAACCTTGCTTTTTATTCCGAGGCTTAACTCAACAGACAAATGGACTTCTTTTAAGCTCAATTTTGAGTTGGGATAGTTTTTGTTAAATATTAAGAGTATGATTATAGAAGAACTGTCAAAAATACTAAGGAAGATGGCTGTTTTTCCCTGGGTTTTTATGGTAGAGAAGGGGGAGAAACCCTGTGGAATTATTATTAATGTTAATGCTTTATTTTCTTAGAGAAATTCTAATTATTTGTTGCTCACACAAAGGAATTCTCCTCTTTTTCACATAGATCCATTTGAACCACAGCGGCGTCTCCCGGTGAAGAAAAGTCGACAACAACTTCAGCGAGAAAAAGCCCTTCAAGAGCAAAGCCAAAAACTTGGACTTCAAGATGGATCAAGCTCAGTACCTCCAGAGCAGCTGCTTTCTGCACCCAAACCAAGATTTAATACTCAAAAACCACACTCTTCTTCCCCTGTTCCTCCTAATCCTCTTACGCTCACTTCTCCTGTTGGTGATGGAAAACCACAGGGGATTGAAGGTCAACCAAGGGAACCGGGACTTGAGAATTCCCATGATAGTCACAAAAACACTGAGGTCCTACCTCCAAAGCCAGATTGCAAAATGGAAAAAAAGAGAGTGGAATTGTTAGTAAGTCTATATGTCCCTGAGATTTTTTTCCATTTTACCTTTTTTTTTTCTCCTCCACTGGGCTTTGAAGAAATACAGTTTTAACGTTTTCTCTTTCATATTCTAACCTAGAAACATCATGAATAAACTATTGAAGAATAGCTACCACCTAAATATGTTGTAAGCCAGTCAGTGTTGGGCATTTTATATGTTTTATGCCATGTAGTCTTCATAGCAGCCTTATAATACACGTTCATTATTTTCACTTGACAGATGAGATTTCTTGGACTCAGAAAAGATGCTTTATTCCCAAAGCAAATACATAGCTTAATAAATGGCAGAGTTGAGGTTCACATACAAATCTTTCTGGATCCAAAGTGTCTGCCCTTGACCCTCACTAGAAGCAGTTCTTACATGCATAGTGCTCCCCCTCATCCCAGATCGAACCCCTTCTTCAGCTTCACTCCATCTCCACTGGCCTGGAAAAGATTGTTTATGAAAAGATAGGAAGGGGTGGTCAAAGAAGAGTGTGTAGGAAATTGAGAGGACTGATAAAACAATTCAGCTACATCATTAGATTTCTTTTTATTCTTTATTTAATGTGTTTATATTAGAAACCACCTCCAGAATTTAGTTTAGAAACAGTTTTGTGGAAATTGCTGTTCTATGTATGACTTATGAATTCTCAGAATTTTTATCCTATACCTTTTGTTTTGATATCCACTGGTATTTGTTTCCTCCTGATTTATCAGGTTGCCATTTGTTTCTGTTTTCCATTTTCTGAGTCTTTCTATTTCGATGTAACTTACGATTTCTCTGATCCAGGTTCTGTACTATGAGTTTAAAGTGTTTCCTGGCCCACCAGGGGTTTACAACCGAGAAATCATTTTTACAGGAGATCTAAAGCCATGTAAATTATGAGAGCAACATTGAACAAGTGCATTTAAAAAAAAATTTTTTTAATGTTTATTTTTTGAGAGAGAGAGATAGTGTGAGCAGGGGAGAGGCAGAGTCAGAGGGAGACACAGAATCCGAAGCAGGCTCAGGCTCTGAGCTGTCAGCACAGAGCCCGACTTGGGGCTCGAAACCACAAGCTGTGAGATCATGACCTGAGCCTAAGTCAGACGCTTAACTGACTGAGCCACCCAGGCGCCCCAAACAAGTGCATGTATTTAAATGTCTTTTTTTTTTTTAATTTTTTTTTTTTTTTTCAACGTTTATTTATTTTTGGGACAGAGAGAGACAGAGCATGAACGGGGGAGGGGCAGAGAGAGAGGGAGACACAGAATCGGAAACAGGCTCCAGGCTCTGAGCCATCAGCCCAGAGCCTGATGCGGGGCTCGAACTCACGGACCGCGAGATCGTGACCTGGCTGAAGTCGGACGCTTAACCGACTGCGCCACCCAGGCGCCCCTTAAATGTCTTTAAGTGTAGTTTACCAGCAAAGGCCTGAGATAAGTAGGGGAGGGTGGGTTTAAATTGAGTTGGATAATTTAGATTGAACGTTGTTGGGAAAATAATTTTTTTTTTAGATGCTTGGGAAAATTTTCATAGACATGTAATCTCAGGAACTGTCATTGAAAAGGAGAAATTGGAGGTTGCAAGAAGGGGAAAGGAAAGCTGTATCCTAGAGAATGCTCAGAGATGACATCTCCCTTCTCTGGAAGAGGCAAGAGCTAAGCCAGAGAGTAGTAGAGAATTAGGGAAATGAAGAAGGATGTGGAAGCTGAGAATTCCTACCTAGCGAGTTCCCCCATGCAGTAGAATATCACTCAGGCCTCTGGAGGAGAGATGCCCTTACCAAAACAATGGTTAGAGAAAACCCACATGTCAGGATTGCAGCCCATTTGGGGGAGGGTGCTGGCTGGGCTGGACTACTGCAGTAGTCAAAATGAGAGAGGACCAGTGCCTGTACCAAGATGGAGACTCTAGGAAGGGAAAGAAAATGATAAATTTGGAAGTGATTAGTAGGTCTGGGAATAGAGATTTTTGACACAGTGGCCATAAGAAATGACAATAATAGGAATAAATAGCTTTGTCGTTACTTTGAGTTGACATCAAGTTCTTAAATTTCTGGGAAATTTTAATATACTTCTTTCAGAATTGGACAGATTGGAGTCCAGTATTCAAGTCTTAGCTCATAGTGTTTCACTCTGTTTAAAAATGTCTCAGAATGGAAAGAAGTGAGCAAATTGAAAAAAAAAAAAAAATGAAATAAACATTGGTTATTGTCTTAAGGGTGTTAAATGGTAGAGACTTTCATTATAGAAAACTCTAAAAGATATGACATTAGCTACATGCCAATTAATTTTCTCCGTTTTGCATATAATACATAATTAACTTACACAACTTTCTTTGTACTCCTAATAAATGACACAGTACTCTGGCTTCCAGTTTGTGGCTTCCTAGATTATATACATATAATGGATTTCAAAGGGCCAATTTATGTAAGACTTCTTGACTTCAAATGATAATCTTTGTTCCTATTAGAACAAAATAATGGGCTGCAGATGGGTTCCTTTTAAGAGGGCTTTTGAAGGAAAATATACATAATGTGGTTGATTAAATTTTATACATAGAGGCCTGAGACTGGTAAGGTGTGGCATGGGGTTTCAGAAACTCATTTTTATACTCTGCTCCCTAGGCAAGAAAAATCTCGTTGGGAAGTCCTCCAAGAAGAACAACGGCTTATGGAAGAGAAAAATAAACGTAAGAAAGCTCTTTTGGCTAAAGCTATTGCAGAAAGGTGAGGCATCTGAACTAGGAGAGGTTGTTTGTAACCTGCAGTCAGTTCTGTCATGTTTTATGTTTATTTTCCCTTGTCTGTTCTGATAAGTTGGTATTTTCTCTACAACATTCTTTTAAAAAATTTTTTTAAAGTGGGTTCTACACCCAGTGTGGTACTTGAGCTCACAACCCGGAGGCCGGGAGTCACATGCTCTACCGACTGAGCCAGCCAGGTGCCCCTCTACAGCATTACTTTTAAGGCTCACTAAAATAATTCTCCTTTATAAATGATACAGAAATTCCAGTGTTAATTCATTAAGGAGGACTTTGTAAGCATAGATTATACCAAATTTATTTGGTATAAATAAATTACATTCTAAGGGAGCAGTGAATAGCCATCAGTGTAAGTGCATTAGCAACAAATGCAGGTTTTAATTTTGACGTGGGGAGGCCTTAATCCTGTGACATGTAGAAGAATAAGACTATTCCACATAAATGACTTCCACTCCAGAAGTTTTAATTGTGTTTTCTGTGGACATTTTTCTTAAAGAATTTACCCTGCCCCCAATGATACACGGTATAATTTAACCTTTCATCGATGACTCGGGGTCACCATTGTGAGTACTCTGCCATACTGTGTGCGATTCGATTTTTCTGTCCCTCCTGGCGTCAGTTTGTCAGCAGTTCCTTTTCCTTCACTGCATCATGATGGCCTCCAGCAGCAATGTTCCCGTTTGAGCCACTTTCCACCCCTCACCCACTCTTTCTGCCCTTTTAGTTTGTGCTTTCCAGTGTGCTATCGCCTTAGGAACCCACCCAAACTTAGTCAGTGAAGCAATGATTGAGAATAGTGAGAATTAAATGCAAGCAAGTTTTCTTGGCATTTTCTTCTTAGATCTCCAGAAAAGCCTGGCAAAACTATTATGTATTGAAACTGCCGTGTGTATCAGGGGGAGGGGAAGGGACAAGGATAGAGAGAAAGGCAGGTAGGTAGAAGAGTAATGGAGAATTTTATCTGTCAAAAGGATATATGTATTTGAAAATGATTTCTCCCCCCCTCCAGCTGGTCCCACTTGATTTGCATGAAACAGGAAATGTGCAACTTACTGAACTTAGGTTTCAAGAAAAAACCATGATTATTCAAAGTGAACAGTGATTTTTGAAAATCACTTCAGTAGTCTTCAGTTTAGAAGTGGTTGGAGAGGCTGTTCACTAGGGATTTTACAAAAGGATTTATAGGCTCAGCACTTGTTCTTGATGTGCTTTTGGTTTAAGACGAAATAGTGATACAGGCTGAAATGTGAGAAAACACAACATGGTTAGATTAGTGATAAATGCACCAGTGAAGTCCTTGAAGTAAAAAAATCATACTGTTAATTCTGTGGGCAGAAAACAAGGGGAAATGCATAATGGAGTAAAAATCAGGAGAATATAAGTTGCAAGATAGTGGTTTTCTGTGGGAGTTTTATTCTCCTGTGAGAATGGGTGTGAAATTCTGAAGTGAGTGAAATCAGATTAAAGGCTTTTGTATCTGTGTATTCTGTTCTTCAGTGTGTACTGTGTTTGGGGTGCTGAGAGGACTGAGCTTAGATGTGCTTTTAAGCTGTAGTCTTGCCTAAAACACAGGAATCAAAGCAATAAAAGTTTGGGGGAATGAGTCCTAAGAAGGTTCAGACCGAATAGACATGAAGAAATGGTGTTTAACGTAAGGGTCCATTCTTTCTGTCCACTAAGTGTTGGACAAATGAAAGTGGCCTGAGCAAGAACTTAAGGCTAGAAATTTGGAAAGTTATTTTAGATGTTCTGTGTAAAGAGAATATAGATAACGTTCTTTTAGTGCTTATTCTCATCCTCGTGGAATGAATATAGACCTATAAGTGAACTATTGGTATTTTGAAAAATTTTACTCTTTCCTTTGTGTATGAAAATGTATGATAATGTTATATGTTAATCCATTTGGAGAATGTTTTGTTTTTATATGGTGTGAAGTATGGATCTGATATATACCTGATTTTACCTTTTCCATATAGAACAGAGTTTGTGGTTTTCTTCACAGATCTTGTACTTTCTTTTCTTAGATTCATTCCTAAGTATTACTTTTTTTTTTTTTTTTTTAGTGCTAATGCAAATAGTATCATGTTTTTAATTTTAAACTCCACTTGTTCATTACTGGTACATAGGAAAACAGAAAGCTTAGAATAAGGGAAAATAACACAAATGCAGTCTTAGAGATATACCAAAATTTTACCAGTGTTTATTATATTTCGATTTGTGTTTTTTTCTGATTTTTAAAAATTATACATTATAATCCTATCGTATATATAGTATCATATATATAGTTGGTTGCTTTTTTCACTTCTCTTGCGTATGGATACGTGATTTTAAAATGTTTTTATTTTTCTATTCATTTTTCTAGATCTAAAAGAACTCAAGCAGAGACCCTGAAACTAAAGCGGATCCAAAAGGAGTTACAGGCTTTAGATGACATGGTGTCAGCTGACATTGGGATCCTCAGGAACCGGATTGATCAAGCCAGCCTTGAGTATTCATACGCTCGGTGAGTTGAGAGAACTCTGAATCAGGAGTGAGATTTCAGAAGTATTTACTGCTGGCTGGGCCAAGGGCTTTCATGTGTGTCATCACTTAAGCCTCCTAACGGTCCCATCAGGCCATCAGGTGCTCTGTTTATTCCTGTTTTGTACTAAATCCAGTGCCTCTTCCTTCACTCTGGCCTACTCTTGTTCTTATTCCTGTTAGCTCATTTCTTGCATTATTTATTTACGTTTTAGTCTTTTTTGCTAAACCATCAATCATCTGTATAATGCTTGGGACTCTAAGAGTCTTAATGACTTGCCCCCAAATTCTGCTATTTTAACACCAAGTCTGTACTCTTTCTGTTAAGAAATTTTGATGATCTGAGATGGTGCTTAGAGATGAGCCTAGTTCTCATGTCAATTTTCACCAAAGAAAGAAGATCCAGCTTTTTTTTTTAAAAAGGCTACAAGTATTTTAAAGAAAATACCACTCTGTCTTGAAAGCTTGAAGTTTTTCCTTTTTTTTTTTTCTTTTCGATTGTATTCTGCCTATAATAGTTTGCTATCATGTGTTTCCTTGGTTTCAATCATTGGCATTTTAGAGAAAAAAAAATCATCAGGGAGTATTTTTAAAATGCATGAACACATGTAAAGAATTACATGAACCTTGCAAGCAGATAAAAGGGCAAAAAATTAAGTCCAATTTCAGGGTTTTCAGTCCTTCCCGCGTTGCTTTAATCATCCCGGTTTGTCTTTTCTCACAAGGGAATGCTGTGTTAATGACTCAGTTTTGCATCTTTCTCTGTAACACTAGAAATCCATCCGAATGCCTCATTAGTCCAGGGTAAACCACAGCAGCAGAATGTTTATAGAACAGTTTAATAAAGCGGAAATGCTTGATTGTGTTTTCAATTCACCGTTTATTAAGAAAGAGGTTTGTGGTGTCCTTGTGATTTTTGTAATTGTTGTTTGACCACATGCTATTAGACTTAATGGGCTGCCTTTATTAATTAACTGCTTAAATTAATGCCATCAGTAGCTGATAACTGGAGGTTCCTATTTCTATTAATAAGGACATTAAGGAGGTAACCAAGATTTTATTAAGATTAAACTCAGCCTAGTTTTTAGCATATGTTATTCTCTGTAACTTAAGTTTACCAGAGGAACATTCCTAGGCCTTTGTAGACCTTAATATGAATAATTCAGATTATTCTAGATACCTCAACCGAAAATCATTTGATTATGTTTTAATTCTGTCCTGGAGGAGACTGGAGAAGGATACATTTGTATATTGAACATTATATAAGAAATGTCATAGTTTTATTCTTCAGAGAACCACAAAGAAAGTGGGTTTACTGGTTAAAAAAGAAAACATCCAATCATATAAAATGTGCTTAATGAAACTTTAGTTTCTGTAGGAAAAAAATTTGACATAAATTTTTATATTTCTTAAACTAAAGATGGCAATTTCTCATGGTACTGATATTGGCATAGTTGTATGTGAATATCCATATTTGATGTGTGAGGCTATTTTTAAAATCCTAAACTCTTGAGGTAAGTCACAGAGAAGCCATAGACAGTTGTGACTGGGACCGGCATCATACCTTGTTCGTGCATAAGATTAAGATGTTTTCTAAATTTACATCTGCGGTTATTGAGAGATTAGAGATTGGTGATAACAGTATTGTGATTTAGATTTCTACTGGTAGCCAGTCCCCACAACAGTCCATCTCTGTGGGAGATTTCCTTGACTTCTTTTTTTTTTTAATAAAAATGATATTGTAGTTTTATAGTACCTGGTACAGTGCTGTGTCCACAAAAGGTTCTTGGATACAGAATAGGCCAGAATTTGCTTTAAAATCAGCTTCCATAGAACAGCACTAGGGTAGACCCCTCCAAGGAGACCAGAGCTTCTGGGAGCCAAACTGAGAGTTATTGCCACTAGTCATATCTGTGACTTCAAGGATGCTGTATGCTGCATAGACCAGCTTGTAAAACAAGAGTGGATGTGTGTAGAGCATCTCTTTGACCCCTAGTGTACCAGGAAGAACTAGGAGCACTGTTTGCCATCTGTGTTTAATAGACACTCCTGTTAACATAGACACATACACGCTCATACACATATGCACGCATATACATAAATGTGTGCAGTCATTTTATGTCTAATTTACAAAAGTAAAAATAATGATTGTGGAAAACAACTTTATTAAAAAGTTTAATAAGAATATAAGCATAGCAGTCCTCTTTTTTTCAAGTAATGTTTGGCCCCCAACATTAAAAGTTGAAAGAACAGTTACATCCTTTCACAACATAAGATGCTACAGGTACTTGTAAAATACTGTGTGATCAAGTTTGTTCTGTTGAAATTATTAACTCTATGAGGGTAACCTTGCCTTTTTGTCCTTAGATACATATTTTTCATTCATTGGTTCTGAGTTTGAGAAAATTCACGTAGGATGTGTTTTCTGAAGTCTCATACTCTTGAGATTTCACGCACATTATCAGTTTCACTATCTAGAACCTAGGTTGTCTGTTTCTGCCTTGTATTGTTTCCTAGGGTTGACATAACAAGTTACTACAAACTGTGTGGCTTAAAACAACAGAAATGCATTCTCTTACATTTCTGGAAGCTGGAGGTTTGAAATCCAGGGTGTTGGCAGCGTCAGTCTTCCTTCAGAGACTTGAGGGAAGAATCCATTCCTTGCCTCTTCCAGCTTCTGGTGGCTGTAGGCACTCCTTGGCTTGTGGCTGCACCACTACCTTCTGTGCCTCCGTAGTCACATTGCTTCCTCCTCTTCTCTCAAAACTTCCTCTGCCTCTTTTTGTTTTAATATTCATTTTTGAGAGAGAGAGAGAGAGAGAGAGAGGGACAGAGTGTGAGTGGGGGAGGGGTAGAGGGGGGAGGACACCGAATCTGAAGCAGGCTCCAGGCTCTGAGCTGTCAGCACAGAGCCCGATGCAGGATTCGAACCCACAGACTGTGAGATCATGACTGCAGCTGAAGTTGGATGCTTAACCGACTGAACCACCCAGGTGCCCCCCTCTGCCTCTTTCTTAAAAGGACACATGTGACTATATTTAGGGTCCCACTGGATAATTCAGAATAAACTCTTTTCAAAATCTTTAACTTAATCACACCTTTTGCCCTGTAAGATAATATTCACAGGTTCTGGGGATTAGGAGGTGAATATCTCTGGGTGGTCATTTTTTAGCCTACCACAACATTCGTCTTTTGCTTTGTTTAATAGCTGCAAAATATCTTCATCTGTCAACTTTATTTTGCCACTGTGGCTAGAAAAACTAATTCTGAACTGTGTTCAATGAAAGCTGAGAACAGATTACAAATATCGTGTTTCTAGTCCTTTTTTATACCTTTTTATTTATTTATTTTTTTTTATACCTTTTTAAAAGGTGACATAGGGGCCACCAAGGTGGCTCAGCTAAGCATCTGACTTAGGCTCAGGTCATGATCTCACAGTTCTTGCATGGTTCGAGCCCTACGTCTGGCTTTGTGCTGACAGCTTGGAGCCTGGAACCTGCTTCGGATTCTGCCTGTGTCTCTGTCCTCTCTCAAAAACAAACATTAAAAAAAAAGTTAAAGATGATGTAATACTTTGGATAACACAGTAAGGCAGCTAAACAGTGATTTATTTTACTGTAAACAGTGATGATTTATTTCACTGTGGCATCATCTCTTAGGTTATTCCATCATTCTCTGTTTTCTTATTAATCTTTTTTCTGTAGAAATGAGAATAATTGATGAGTAATGAAGAAATAATGCCAGGGTGATAAAATGGCAAAATGTTTCAAGATACAGGAAAAATGCTATCTCAACAATCCCGTAATGTATCTCAGATTTATAAGAGGGTACAATGGGCACATACAGTAATTGCAAAATGTAGTTTTAGTCTATCCTTTAAAATACTAGTAGTTTTTCTGTTTGTTCTCTGGAAGACTTCTAAGAAAGGATAAAAACCTTTATGTGTTGATACTTACAAAGAGGTAGAAGTCAGAAAAGGAACCGAAGACTAAAAGTAGATTGGTGGAACCTAAGGGAATGCCGAGGGTTAATCATTGAATTCTTAAAAAATTTCAGGATCCCCAAACCAAGAGACAGTTTCTAGAATTCTTTAAATAACATTCATTAAATCACTCAGTGTCCGTTTAAAATAACAAAGTAATTCTGTGAATACATTTCCAGTTCAATTTGTCTTCCTGTGTTATGTATAATGCTCTTATTATTCTGTCCCAAAACATGTCATCATATTCTGATTTGGTATTATCCACCTGACCCTCAGGCTCATGGAGCAGTTTGTGAAATTAATCAATATTTTAAACATAAATCACTCTGTACAAGAATATATATGCATGTTTCTGGCCAGAAGAACTTTAAATAAATAAACAAAATGCAAAATCTTCAGTGATTTATCCAGGGTGAAAGATCAATGGAAACCTAGGGACCTATTTGCGAATTTTAATTTCAATTCAGCATTCATGAGCCCGGTCAGTAAATCTTTACTAACTGACTTTGGCTGGCTGAGGGAGACCACAGGCCACAGAAAGGAGGTTTGAGTCGGGGTAGGGGACAAGGTATTCATATACCTGTAGAGAATGTTGTCAGAGCTCTTAAGCTTGATGGAAGAACATTCTTAAATAGGATATGTTATAAAGTATGGAAAGCAGGGATTCACATGTCCAGCAGAGCTCCTTTAGAATAATTCTTTTAACATAGAGGGTAATTGAAAAACAGCTAGTTTTGTCATTCTTATATTTACTAGATGATAGTAAAAAAAGTGAAATATGATAAATGACCATGATGTAAATAAGAGTTTTCAAGTATAAACACGAGGTCCTTGAACTTTGCCTAATTTTAGTTTTAGATACAGTACATGTTTCTAATGATACACGAACAATGCATTTCAATTCTGGTGCTCTGAAGACGTTCTGTTTCTTGAGTGCCTACCAGGCACTGGCCCTTGTTTCTACTGTTTAATCCTTAATACTCCTATGAAGTGTCCTATACTATACTCCTATTAGTATCACCATTGTACAAATAAGCCAAAATTCAGTTGAATATACTGTCAAGGGTCACCAGACTGGAATTTTCAGACATTGCGCACATATTCTCCAGCCTCTTCCTTCGGAACCTATCTGTGTTTTGTATTCCGGAAGCTGACCCTGGGGCATACCTGGTTAGAACAAAGATGGGCTGCCAACTCCAGAACATTTAATCCATAGACTAAATAGGGTTTCGTGGCATGGCTGGACACTAAGAGCTCTGTTTAAACTGATAACTAGCCAAGGTAAGCCAAGCCAAGTCCTCCTCCTGGAAGTGGAGCTCTGAGAAATTGGAGTGAATTTGATGTGGAGCCACAGCTGGTGGCCATATTGGGCTGTGTGATTGGAAAGCCAAAATGAGAGAATTAAAGAGAATAGCTTTTGATTCTGATGACATGCCTGGGAGATTGCCTCGTGTATCCTACAATAAAACCCACTTTTCACCTGAGCTAGCTTGACTGGGTGTCTGTCCTTTACATCCAAAAAAGGCCTTGACCAGAACAGGTACATACATAGTAAATGGCAAAGGCAGGTTTTGAACCCTGGGTTTTCTCAAATCAAAGCCTTTCAGTTTTTTCATCACGTTTCAAGACAGAATCTTGCGTCAGGAGCTATACCTGTTTTTGTGTTGCTGTAACTGTAGTACCAGAAGTTACTTCTCTCTTTGAGTTGATGTGGGCAATCATAACAGCAAGGCAGCAAGGCTTTCACAACTGTTAGTGGCTTTTATAATTCATTGATAAATGTGGGCCAATCTCTTTTCCTGATGAAACAAAACAAACAATTTGTGTGGAAAAGGCCAAAGACCGTGAACCAATGTATGATAATTTTTCTTTTTGTGTCAAGCTAATACAAAATAAGAGAGATCACAGAGAGAGAGTGAACAGGGGAGGGCCAGAGAGAGGGGGAGGGAGAGAGAACCCCAAGCAGGTTCCACACTGTCAGCGCAGAGCCCAACGTGGAGCTCAAACTCACAAACCCTGGGACTGTGACCTGAGCTGAAATCAAGAGTCGGCCACTAACTGACTGAGCCACCCACACGCCCCAGAATTACCTTACTTCTAAGACAGGCATTGCGTATCTGCAGAGTTTTTATGTAAATAGATAAAATACCCTAATCAAAGTCTAACAGTCTGTTGTTGCAAAGTGGAGACAGAACAACTTAACGCAGGGATTCTCAACTGGGGGCAGTTTTGCCCCTTGGGAGACATTTGGTAACATCTGGAGACATTCTTGGCTATTACAAGTAGTGGGTGCTACCAGCAGCTTGTGGGAGAAAGCCAGCGATGCTGCTCTGCATCCTACAATGTACAGGACAGCTCCCCCACAACAGAGAGTGATATGGTCCAAGGGGTCAGTGCCAGGACTGAGAAACCTTTCCTAAACCCGGCCTGAAGTTTTTCTGTTCTTACTCGATGCTTGCTTCTTGCCTCACTTAGTATCATTTACATTCGCCTTGGACCCACTGTCCATATCCTTCTCCACCAAAATATTTCTTCCTTTTCTAACCCATTAATCAAGAGGTACAGATTTTCTGCTTTTCACTTCTCTTACTGCTTTACCTCTCCTACATTTTAACCAGCTGTGTGCTGGAGACAGGCTGCACTGGTTCACCAGGGCCAACGTCATGTATCTCTTCCCAGTTCTGCGTTCAGCTGTGCCACATGGGCAGCCTGAAATTGGCCCTGGTGGTGGTAGTGTTTGTGCGACAGAAATCGACAAACACTGTCCCATCAGGGCTCTCACTGGAGCCCCACTGGAGCTAGTTTGCACTGAGTTAACCTTCAAGCACAGCTTCGGAAAGAGGACATGAGTGCAGAAGAACGTGCTTACGTTGGGAGGGTCCAAGTGTGGATGTTGTGGAAGTTTCAGCAGCGACAGCCTGGCTTGTCTAACATGTAGGACAAGTGTTCACAAAGTATCACTATCCATATCTTCATTACGTCTTTCCAATTCTGGAGCTTAATTATTGTTTCTAGAACCTCCTTTGAATATCTTCTTTAGTGGAAAACCAATGGACCAATCTGTGTACCTGTCCCCACAGGAAGCGCTTTGACAGGGCGGAAGCAGAGTACGTGACGGCAAAGCTGGAGCTACAGCGCAAGACTGAGATCAAAGAGCAACTCACTGAACACCTCTGTACCATCATACAGCAAAATGAGCTCCGCAAGGCCAAGAAGTTGGAGGAGTTGATGCAACAACTGGATGTACAAGCTGATGAGGAGACCCTGGAGCTTGAGGTGGAGGTGGAGAGATTGCTGCGCGAACAAGAAGCCGAAGCAGGGAGACAGATGGTTCATCTGGAGAGGCCACCTCAGCCTTCTGGGGAGAGTGTGACTTTAGGATTTGCCAAAGAGAACAGAAATCATCGAGACCCAGCCGCTTCTCAAAAGGTAGATGAACGGTGTGAAAATTCCAGTAGCAATCCCCTTCTGAATGCAGACCAAAGTCAAGAAGTTAAAATTACTGTAAAGGACATTTCAGCCGCCGTGACCACATGAAGTGCCAGAGTTTGTACCTTGCGGCTGGTAAACGTCTGTTGTGGATTATGCCGTGAACTCTGATAAAACGGTGTTAACTTTGAATCCGTGGTTAGTTTCAGTAGAACATGTTTGACATTCTGAACCCTCGCATTATGATTATTTGATATATAGGCACACATTCATCTTGATCCAGGGCCAGGTCCTCCTGGTGCACTCTTAATACCAGGTGGAAACAAACCACCTAAACAGACGGAAGAGGCGCTACACGATTGAGAATGTGTTGCACCAGGTAAATCTAGAAGAGTAAGATGGAAAGTGATACTCGACACCTAATCAGACTCCTGTGACTTTTCCTAGGAGAGGTGTTGACGATGAGATACCTGTTTTATGTAGTCCATAAAGACATAAAAATTAGCATGTGAAAGAGACAGAAGGGGAAAAAACTAACAGAAGTAGCATATTGAATTGTCTATTGGATCGTAGTCGAGCTGCAAAACCCAACTTGGAAGCTGCAATTTAACAAAAGGAACCAGACAGCTTCAGTAACATTTTCGTCTTCAGTTCGCCTGTTAAATGGCTTTAACTTACAACCTGAGTTTTGATTAGTTGCTACACACACACACACACACATACAAATATACCATTAGCATGCGTAATTTTACTGTTAATGTATTGTCTTTTCTTTAATCAGCACATTGATTAAATTTAGACAATGAAAACGTTTCTGTAGTGAGGCTAAAATAATACAGAAAATCTATTACTACTTTTGATTATCAAAAAAAAATTGATATATTTTCTTTCTAAAGTTGTCTGTAAACATGTGTTATATACGTTGGATATTAATTATCCTGTCATAAAGCATTTAAATTGTCCAAATGGTGATTTTAATAGTCCGTTAATTACTATCACTTCACTAATACTTGACCCCCACATTGTGCTATATGTGAATATATAAATACTGTTGTTTTGTCACAAAATCTGTGAATTTCACAGTAAATTATCTATCAGAAATTCCAAAAGTGCAAATACTAAAGTCTTGAAAAAAATCTATTATATAAGAGAATAAAGACAAATGTAATATTGTATTTATAATACTGTCAAAAAAGTTGGGGACATCCTATTTTTAAATGAATTTGAGGTTATTCATGTGGATGAGCTGTGTATTTTTATGTTCTGTAATTTGGGTTGAAATTATAGCCTTCCAGTGCTGACTTCTCTGAACAGAAGCATTTACATAGATAGTTGTGTTTTTATTTATGAAGGACATTCATAAAAACTAAAAACATCATTGTCCAATACTCTTATTTTTCTAAGGAATAAACAAGTCTGATACACCCATAACATGGTCTTCTGTTTACTCTTCAAAATGTTCAAGGCTGCCTGGGTGGCTCAGTCAGTTAAGCGTCTGGCTTTAGCTCAAGTCATGATCTCGCAGTCCATGAGTTCAAGACCCACATCTGGCTCTGTGCTGACAGCTCGGAGCCCGGAGCCTGCTTCAGATTCTGTGTCTCCCTGTCTCTCTGCCCCTACCCCACTCATGCTCTATCTCTCAAAAATGAATAAACGCTAAAAAAAAATTTTTTTAATGTTTCCAACAATTTAGTATGTATACTGAAGTGTTACATGGCGGTCCTGTATTCCGTATCTCCATGTGGTAGATACAGCCATCTACTTTTATATAAGCCTCTGTTAAGGACAGTTCATCATTAATGAGGTTCTGTAACATTCGCTTCATACAGGTAGCCGCAATCTAATTCTCTGTCGAAGTATTTATAAGGTATACAGAAAAAGGAGAACCATGAAATAAATGAATTCGAAGGGACCTCACAGGTCATCTGATTTAATTCTCTCGCTTTACGGAAGAGGAATTTGAGAGCCTGAGATTTTGCTTACGGCATGTTGGCCAACTGGCTTCTCTTAACTCAAGTGCTAGTAACGTTGCCATTCTAAAACTCTTGGTGTATCTCTTATATGCATCAGGCCATAAAGTTCACTGCATCCCTCCACTTGAAAATTTTGCTTAATAACCCATTCAGGGATTGTGTTCGTGCTTGCGAAATGCTTTCAAATATGTCTGTAAAAGGTCCGCCAATACCATTATTTTGAAAAAGTTGCCTTGCTCGGCTTTCCCAGGGTGGTATCCGAGTGCTCAGGTGATGATATAAGTGACAAAGTTATATTGCATCAGTTTTGTACGAGGCAGCTGTATCCCATGTGTGAGAGGAGTTTGAGCAAGAGAAGTGGGGGCTCACTGGTATGAGGACCATATGCACCGGCTTTAGTAGGATAGCCCTGATATCTTTTAAAATCATAAAACACATTCAAAAGACTTTTGATATATGGATTCACAAATCCACAAATAATTGTTACTTTCTGCGAAGGAAATTATTGGTTCAAAATTACAGCCCTGAGTTTATTGGAGCGCTTTGTCTAGCTGTCCCTCCCTGGTCAAACTCTTCTTCTCTTGCTCCTACTTCTCAAACAGTTCAAGCATAAGCTTACCGGGGCTCTTGATGTGATATGCAATTTAGGAGTTAACTACTTGTGGGTCTGTCGCTTGTTCTGTTTAAAAGATAGCCAACCAATGGTGGTACTTTTTACTCATCATCTTTAAAAATTATGCTCAAAAGGGTAAACTTGAATTCCCAAATTTAAGTGTTCGTACACCTTGATGCCCCACTGCTTTCTTTTAAATTTTTATAGGCTTCAGAGAAGCAGAATTTCTTAAAGCACAGTTCTCCTTGCATTTAAAATATAGCGAGAGTTTTTCTCGCTTTTCAAACCTCTGCATAATTCTACTGAATTACAGCAATTGCAGGTGGTAAATCTTTATAGTCACTGAGAGCACAGCTGGTTTCCAAGTCAGATGATAGAAATCTCTGATTGGAATTTCTAGAACGTATTTTATTGCTGGATTGGCATTTGAATTATAGAGTAAAAACTCAGCTATAAACCTTGCTCATTCTTTGTTTGGATTTAGCAACATAGTACTCTCAAAGAGCTTTAAGTATTCAGCAACTTCCTCTTCGAAGACACTGGCACAAAGCGGACTCAAGTTATTCTGACCCAGGCCATTCCCAGTGACCTTTATAAATGATGTTTTGGGTTTTGTATTTCTAAGAAGCCAAGTCAGCATTTTAAAAGACCCTGATAGATATAACTCAGTCTGCCAGACAAGACCTGGGGCCACTCTGGACCCAGGGTAATTATACCCTCTCTCAACATAGATCTACCCCAGGCCTGACTTGAACTGCTCTCTGGAGGAATGAAGCAGGACACTATTCTCCAGTCTGCCTTTACCTTCATGTCAGGCTACTTTTGCAAGCTCCTAATCCCAAACAGCTGTCTTGAAAATGCAACATTATCTCTTCATGCAGTTGATCAAACAACTGCATGTAGCTACATGTATGGACAGAGCTGTGTGAGAGGTGTGTGATCTGTGCCTTTTGTCCTTAAGCTCGTGTAGTCTACTTGAAGGACCCAGATTTACATTCAAAGGCTGATAACAAAACATCATGTCTTCTTGAAGGGGGACAAAATGAGTGGTTGGAACACAACAGGGATGCATGCTCCAGAAGTCCACAATTTTTAGAACATTCCTCATTTTAAATATTCCATCCAGTTGTTTTGCAATCTGAATGTATCTAGGACCTGCTGTATCTTTCAGCTTGCCTTTAGCAGTGAGGAGTGAGGCACAACTAAGACAACAAGAAGCCTGTGTTAAACAACATGTACAGATTCTGAGTTAAAAAAAATTGTCACCACCACAACAAGAGTATTAGAAAAAGAGGTTTTTGCATGTTATTGATTTCAAAGAGGGGGCTGCTAGGACTTACCAGTACAAAAAAATCCCAGGTGTTAGAAAAAGTAACTTTACATGCCTTTCTGACAAAGGGTTGATAGCGTCTTGGGACAGTAGCGTGAATGTAAACACTCATGACAGTAACTCAAGGGCTTGCTGAATCAAGGGGCAATAATCACTACCCAAGCCAGAATAAGGTGGCGATGGAACAGCCTCGTGTGGACTCAAGGGTAACTCAACATGGATGCGTGTTCCGAGATCACATATAAGAGGGGTCTTTCCAAGCCAAATGACTCTAGGAGCCTAAAATAGAGCCATAATTAAGCAATAAGACGTGACAGGGAGCACATTTCTCAGTGATTATAGCATGCCTCAAGGGATAAGTCACTAGGCCCAAGGTTCATACGATGAGTGAAATAATAACCCTGCAATGTATAGCATCCCACTGGGAGGGTCGAGGGAGAAGAAGGAAATGAATAATAAGAGTTAGAAGAGTCATCTCATAAGCTGTTATTTCAGTCGTTGGGTTAGACTTCCACGTGCATAGTACACGTGGCCGTTAGTTGTGTCCAGCATCCGTCTTGAAGTTCTGTGTGTGCACCAGAGCCTTCACTTACTTGAAGACCCCACAGAATTATCCACCTTCTCATTTTCTTAGCCAAACACAAACCAGGCAATTAAGTCACAAACTTGAAAGCCCACAGGCATATCCATGGAACTGCAGTCTGGTATAATTATAATGGCAGTTGCCTAGACCTGGCCTTAATAACTGACAAATGGCCGAAGCAGTCACACTGAGTAATTATCAATATCTTGGCTTATTTACCTCATGTGCATTTCCCTCAGAAACTACCAATAGACGCGGCCCCAGTGTCACACAGGTCCAGAAACATCTCTGGTCTTCTAGCCTGGGCTTTCCCTTCCCTTACTGCCGTGCTGCTGGTGGAAGACAGCGAGAATTCTGGAGCTAGTGGCCAACTGCACCCTATACTGTGGTAGAGGCCGGCCTCTACCCAGGAGAATCCAGATACCCACTAGCGGTAGTGGGGTGAAAATTTTCCAAACTGACAGATGCCCTGAAGAGCAAATCAAGGCAGTTGTCTTACTGCCAGATCCCTCTCCATGTTTCTATAATTCTTATTCATCACTTCAGAAGATGGTTAAAAAATCTTCTGACCCAACCTCTGAGAACGAGATTTTTTGTGGTTCTTCATGT